GAGGAAGTGGGGCCGGGCCCCCGGGGGCGGCGCAGAGACACGGGCCAGCTGTGAGCACGCTGTGTTTATTTCACCGGCGGCCCGCGGGAGGCGGAGGTTCTGGGCAGGGAGCACGGGGGAGTGGAGGGGCTGTCGCGCTTCACTTGTCTCGGCTAAACATGTACCGGAGGAGGTCCACCACCCGGTGACTGTAACCGTATTCATTGTCGTACCTGGGGGGGGGAGGGGCGCGTAGAGGGTCAGCGGGCCCCTCCCCGTTACCCCCAGCTCCCCGCGCTCTCTGACCCCTCCCCCCGTACCAGGAAATGAGCTTCACGAAGTTGTCGTTGAGCGCGATGCCGGCTTTAGCATCGAAGATGGACGAGTGGGTGTCGCCGATAAAGTCCGTAGAGACAACCTGGGTGCCAGAATTTCTAAGGTAAGTTCGGGTCGCAGAGCAGAGACCTCCAGGAGGCCAGGTTCTGACTCAGGCATGTTGGCTATGCATTCGTCTACATCTGTTGGAGTCCTACTGTGTCCAGGCTGTGGGGATGGGTTATGAAGAAGGCACCTGGGGGCTTTGCTGGTGGGGGACTGGCCAAAGGACACAGACCACGAACACCCTGATGCCGCACCAATAAATATCATTTCCTGGGGATAATTCAGGCACTTGGAAGGGGCTGGCAGAGGCCCCAGGTGGAGGCACCAGGCTGAGTCTGGCTGACGGGCCCTCAGCAGATCTGAGGTAGGAGGAGCTGCAGCGCAGAGGCGGAGGGTTGTGGCCCTGGTGTGGTGAAGGCCACAGGAAGGTTTTCTGCAGGGGGGAGGGAGGCGGGTGTGATCTGATTCCATTAAAACAAGAGGTCCTGGTGGCTGTGTGAGGGTGCCCTTGCAAGGAGCCAAACCAGGGAGACAACACCAGAGATGGTACTACTAGGAGCACAGGGACAGTGACATCTGTTTTTCACAGGGAAGGTGCCTGCCCATGGCCTGCCTTGAGCAAGTGTTGAAAAATGGTATATTTTGTCTTGTTCGGGAAGCATGTATTGAGCATCTGCTGTGTGCCAGGCCCTGAGAAGATGGCTGGAGCTATGGAAGTGAAAAGATAGGCCCCAGATCCTTGCCTTCTTGGAGTGCATGTGCTCACAGGACCAGCAGTGACTGAAATGGAATTTCAGGTGAAGAAAGGGGCCGCAAAAAGAACACCTTGCTGAGGAGGGAGGGAGGTGAGGTAAAGAATTGGAGGAGGGGGGACAGATGTATGGCCACTTGGGGGAAGAGCTTTCCAGACCAAAGGAGCAGCAAGTGCAGAGATGCTGAGGCAGGAGATCTGACTCCCAGCCCTGCCGTTCCTAACTGGATTCATTGGGAGCAGCTCCTTGGCAAGTGGGAAGTCGCACTCTCCCCCCAGAGGGTTCCTCCCAGGGTCTCTTCTCCTCAGTCCCTACCTCATCCTCCGTGTAGGCAAGTATGCCAGCCATTGGCCCCTTGGCTGCTGCTTTTACGGCATCCTTGATGGCCGAGTATGTGGTAGGCCGGGCTAGGCGGCAGGTCAGGTCCACGACAGACACGTCTGGGGTTGGTACCCGGAACGCCATTCCTGTCAGCTTCCTGGACAGTCCCACATGGAGGTGGAAGTCAGAACCCAAGGATTTCTCCATCTACCCCCTCCCCTCCACCTTCCTCTCATTAGATACCGCAAGGATTGGGGCCCGTCTGCTCTTCCCAGGGTGTGCCTCCCACCCTGGTTGCAGCTTTCTGCCCTCATACCCTTTGAGGTCTGGGATGACTTTGCCCACGGCCTTGGCAGCCCCTGTAGAGGCTGGGATGATGTTCTGGTGAGCTCCTCGTCCGTCTCGCCAGGCCTTCTTTGATGGCCCGTCCACTGTCTTCTGGGTGGCCGTGTAGGAATGGACTGTGGTCTTGGGGAAGAAGAGGGCTGAGGTGAGGCCTTCCTGCTCCTAAGTTCCTGTGCCTCTTTATTTTAGGTCTGAAGTGATGAGCCAGGTGTGGAGGTTGTGGGGCCACCACAGCCCACTGGAGGGGCATCTGCAAGCTGGGGTTCAGCCTTGCCGAGAGTTACACAGAATTTTAAAAGACTCTCCCACTGGCGAGCCTTTCCTCTTGAAACCAGTCTCTTTCTATTAAAGTCACACACTAATCCTGAGAGGAAGCGGTACAGGTTCCCTGCCATCCATCCTGCCCAGCCCTCTCCCCAACTCACCATCAGTCCTTCCACCATCCCGAATCGCTCATGAACGACCTTGGCAAGGGGGGCCAGGCAGTTGGCGGTGCAGGATGCATTGCTGAAACAGCCCGGTATGCAAGGGAACTGTGAGGTGAGTGTCAGAGCCACCTTCCACCCTTACCTCACTTTGGGGAGATGCTCAGAGGCTCGGATTTGTGAAAAGTCGGGATGGGGATGAGAAAGATCATTGGGGATGCCCTTAGACTGAAGGAGGCATTTTTAACAGGTCCAGGGGGATGTTAACATGGTGGCTGTTAAGACTTTGGGAGGGAGAAGCAGATGGGGATGTGAAAGAAGCACCAGTGGGAGTGGCGGTTGGGTGCGGGGGAGGCTGAGTCTGATCCCTTCCCATCACAGGCTGGCATGTTCTCTGGACATCACCCACCCACTTCTTGATGTTGCTGCCCGTTACCTGACAACTTTCATGGAATCAGGATTATAGTCCTTTTCATTCACCCCCATCCTCAAAAGTCATGAAGAGATTTCCTTCATAGTCCCTGGCCTTTACTGTTTGAAAGGCTGACTAGACACCTTCCCACCTGGCCTGTGAGCATCTGTTCTCCCCACCCCACACATATCTAGTTATCCCAGGTGGATTTGACCCTGCTAGTCTTGCCTGTTGGCATCTTGCTGAGGAGGGAGGCTGAGGTAAAGAATTGGAGGAGGTGAGGACAGATATATGGCCACTTGGGGGAAAAGCTTTCCAGACCAAGTACAAAGATTCTGAGGCAGGAGATCTGACTGCAGTTCCTATCTTGATACATTTCAAGCAGCTCTTGTGGGCCACTTACCTTGACTGCCCTTCCTCTGCTATGCCCCAGTATATGCAAGTTGCCACCTCCCCTACTCAGGCTCATTCACCCTCTGTCTCCAGGGGACCACCCCTGACTACTGCCAACCAGGTCAGGCCCTTTCTATGCCTAGAATGTAGACTCCAGAAGGGCGAGGCCTGCTGCGCTGCTTCTGATTCCCTGTCCTCACAGCCCCACCATGGCCCTCCTTGCCTCTTGTCTCTAGCACTCAGCCTCTGCACCCGGGAGCCTACTGCCAGAGGCTGAGCAAGTCCCTGAAGACAGGAACTACATCCTGGGAGCAATGGGGGAGACGGCTGTAACTGTAGCCTCAGGCTACCCTGGGGTCAGCAGTGGTTAGTGTTTTACATCAGAAAGGTCAAGGCCTTTTTGGTTTCCACTTTTATAAATTTATGTTTTTACTTAATAGTTTATCTAACGTTTGCATTTGAAACAAATATTGCTGTTTTCTACTTGGTTTGTATATGAGTCTTCTTCACAGGACTTATCACAACTGCAGTATTCGCTTTTGTGATTTTTTGTTAGCATCTGTCTCATCTTTTAGACCGCTTTGTGGCAAAAGGGTTGTGTCTGTTTCCTTTGTCATTGAGCCTGCTCCCTCCAAAGGGGTTCAGACAGTGTTTGTAGGGTTATTTTTTATTAGACATCCTACACATGTTTACTGAGCACCTGCCACGTGCCCATGTTCTAAGTGCTTTGCCTTCACTGAATCATTTAACCCTTATACCCTGAGGGTTAAATGCCTTATTGGCATTTTGTAGAGAAGCCAGGGCAGAGGTGAAGCAGTAGGAGAGAGAGCTGGCTGGAAGTATAGGCAGGCTGGTCCTAGGATCTGTACTGGCTGCATACCAGATTAAAGGAACAAATGAGTAGCTTCCTCTCCCTGGGCCACCATGCATGGTTCTCTTTTCCTGGTCATCTGCTCTGTCAGGTCACACTTTTCATCATTTGGTTCAATTATCTCTTCTCTGAGGCCCCCCGTCTCCTGCCTTCTCATTTGGGGAGGGAGGGTAACTCAAACTCCTCTGCAACAGTTGTTAAGTTGGCACCTCAGGAGACCCCAGCCCTTCTCCCTAGACTGTCGGGCGCTGCCTTCCTGCCCAGGGTCTTGTTTTGAGGATTCCATTCATTCATTCTTCAAGGAAGTTGTGAGTTTACCCAGAGCCAGGACCTGCACTATAGGTGCCAAAGCAATAGTGGTGACAAACTGACAGGATTCTTCCTGCAAGGAGGCCTTGTGGGAAAATGCCCTGGTTGGCAGTAGTCAGGGGTGGTCCCCTGGAGACAGGGTGCTCCCCACATGCCTGTTAACTGGCTGTGCTGCCTGCCATGGATCTGATCCCCGTCCCCATCGGTTACATAAAGAAACAGGCTCAAGGAAATTCACTTCCTTAGCCCAAGGTCGCCTGTCTAGAAAGGGTTGAGCAGGGTAAAGTACACACAAAAGCAACATCACTTTTGTGCCTGGAAAACACCCACAGTGCAGTGACGGAGTGGGGTGGTGGGAATAACCACTGCAGTGACCTGAAGGCAGAACCTGAGTAGGGGTGCACAAGTGGGGAGAATGCTGCAAGTGGCAGGAATGACGGTGCCCAGGTTGAAGGAGAGGACATGGTATGTCTAAGTAATGACCTCTGTGCCGGAATTGTTTTTGGTTATGATTTCAAACTTGGGTCAAGAAGCTTCTCTCACTGATGTTCCAATCCCCAACTCCATCCTCTCCTTCCCAACCCTGACCACCTAACCACAAGCCTTCCTTGTCCCTCTTTTATTCACACTCTCTACACCCCAGTAAATGAGAGGGGCTGGGAGTGGACCTGCTGGGAGGAGCGCTGGGAAGGCTTGTGAGCATGCAAGCACAAGTGTATGTCAAATCGGGGCCAGCAGTGGCCAATAGTTTACATTAGAAATATGAAGTAGACTATTTTCCATTTTATAATTTTTTAGTTTTCTTGATGTCTTTGGAGCATATTAAACATCTAATAATGCTTTTGATTTGCAGATTCTGGACATATCTTTAAATGGAGGAAAATTAACATCAATAACTATGTGAAATGGGGCCAAGAGGTGGATGGCCAGTGTGGCTGAGGTTATATTAAAAGGCTCAGGTGTAGGGCTCATAGTGCTTGTGGGGCCCTATCAGGAGCTAGGATTTTATTTTTGGGGTGACGGGAGGGTTTAAGTAGGGGAATAACGGCCTAGTTGACATTTTAAAAAGGCCTCTGTGGTTGCTGTGTAGGAACCGAGTAGAAGCACTTGGCCATATGTCGATGTCGCTTCGTGGGAAGGGAGATGAATAGGTTTGGGGGTTGATGGAGAATCAAGAGGTGAGTTTTAGACATGTTGAATTGATATGCCTGTGCGAAAACTTGTAAGTGTGCATTAAATCAAAAGTATTCCTGAGTAGAGTGGGGCATCTTTCTAAGTTAGTGCTTCCTAACCATTTTAGCAGTCACAGACTTTGAGACCCCCCTCTTCCAACCAGTACTGAGAGACATACATGCTGAGGGTTATGAATCCCAAGGAGAAGCTGGGATCCCATTCATGTCATCTTTACACTCCCTCCATTAATGTGTTGCAGGCATGCATCAGACAGCTGCCCTTACCACTGGAAGACACTGATCTCCTGTTTATCCACAACCAGCCGTCCATTCTTGTATTCCACAGTCCCCTTGTATTGGCCATGGGTGGAGTCATACTTAAACATGTACACCTGTGGGAGACAGAATGGCTCCTGATCTTGGGGGTGGCAGGGGTGGGAGAGCAAGCATCCCTAAGGAATCCCTGCCTTGGTGAAGGTTTCATATTGCACCCGAGAACCTCCCAGAGAGCACCCCTGAATCCCCGATCCTACCCTTTACCTGCTACTCACCATGTATTCCGGGTCAATGAATGGATCATTCACTGCCACCACCTTAACGCCTTTCTGCATGCAGGCTCGCAGCACCAGGCGACCGATACGTCCAAATCTGTCCAGGACGGGTTTGGGGTTGTCTTCAGAATCCTCAGCCAGCAGGCAGAGGAGGGGACAGGAGAGAAGGGGGCAGCAGGAGGCTCCTCAAGGGGACTGGGTGGGACGACTCGGTCTCGGGGAAGAAAGCAACCAACCCTTTGCAGGCGGCTATTATCTTGCTCATGATCTCACCAGCTTAACTGATTTGCCTGCTTCCTCACCCATCCATTCTTTACCCCATTCCTAATCGTGTAGTTGGATGGATCTTAAAGAACTTCAGGCCCGATTACGTCTCTTGGCCTGAAAACCTCTACAGCTCTATCAGTAAAACTAGATCCAAATTCCTTACCATGGCTTACGAGGCCCATCTGCTTTCCAACACGCCTTCCTCTTCTGCCTTGCTTGCTCCACACCAGCACTGAATTCCTGCCTGTCCTTTGCATACTGTGCTGCCACCTGTGCCCCCGAGCCATTGCTTGCTGCACAGCTGCCACTCAGGCCTCACTCCAGTGTCATCTCCCAGAGGTCTTTCCTGACACCCCAGCTAACACTGGCCTCTCCAGTCTTACTATACTTCATACTGTTCATTCACACATCCCCAAACCAAATGTTCCTTATTTGATTGTTGTTTTCCCACCAGAATGTGAGCTCTCTTAGGGGACAAAGCCCTGTCTACTCCCCCCCACCCCCCCATTCTCCAAGGTGGACAGAGTGAAAGCATTGATGGTGTGAAATGTGGAGATGCCCTATTCAGTAACTGGAGGAATGCCTGGGCCCTATGGCTTCAAGAAGGCTCAGAGGCCAGGGCTGACTCACCCATTGATGCCAACAGTCAGTTCCCGAACCTTCTGAGGTGGAGGAGGAGGTGGTGGAGGTGGAGGTGGAGGTGGAGGAGGTGGGGCTTCCTCCTTGATAGGCTCTGGCTCTGGTTCTGGGTCTGGCTCTACCACTGGCTCTGGCTCTGGCTCTGGCTCTGGCTCTGGCTCAACTTTGGGTGGTGGCGGCGGTGGTGGTGGTCTGGTTACTGTTGGAAGGAGTGGGGGTGGCGATGAACTGCACCATCACAGTGAGAGAAAGTGAGCTGTGTTTCCCAAACCTACCTGATCCACAAATGAACAGAGGATGGGCTTGCTTTAAAATATCAATGCCAGGGCCCCTTCCCTGGTATTCTAATTCAGTGGGTACTGTGTATCTTTAACAGTTGCTTGGGATGACACTCTGAGTCAGTTTCCTCCTTTCTAAAATGGAGATAATAGTACTCTCAGAGGGCCACTGTGAGGATTAAATGAAGTAATAATATATGTAGCGCTTATGACAATAGTCTGGGAACATTCTGCATACATTAGTATTTCAAAGGCCTTTTCCCAAATGGTCTGCTAATTCATGTAGCCCACTGGTCCCCAGAATGTTCTGATAAGCATCATCCAGAAAGTGCCTCCTAGGGAAATCTGACTCAGTAGGTCTGTTTTGAGGCTCAAGTGTTTCTAAGGAGCACTTAAGGTGATTCTTACCCTCAGAAAAGTTTAGGAAATACAGATATACCAGAACATGAAACAAATAGGGATCTTTATTAGCTCCCGGCTCTCTAAACATACTCCCACTCCCTTACTGCATATTTGAACATCTGTGCTTGGAGGTGTGCCATCTGAGCTCCAGGTGAAGACTTGAGAGGAGGGGAGATGTGGAGAGAGCAGTCAGGGATCTGCCTGGCAGAGGGCTTCATACTGGGGATCAGGCACGGTTGTCATCCCTGCCTCAGCTACTTGGCATCTGGCCTTGTGCAAGTTAATGACTTGTTTCCTGTTATCACATCTGACCCTCTCCTTGGGGGCTTTTGGGAGGACTCAGTGAGATCTCAAGGTCCAGTAGTGCTGATTTTAATACAGGGGAGGAAGTGTGATACTACGTATTCATGAGGAAAGGGGGAGAGAAGGGGATGGAGAGGCCCGAGGATGAAGGTGGGAGATGGCTTTGGCACTACTAGAATCAGAAGCACCTGGGGGGAGGTGTGGCCAGGAGCCAGCGGCCAGCTGGCCTGTTGTCTCCCTGACCTCTCTGGCTGCCGCAGACCTTGTGGCCTGAGGCTGGGCTGTGGGTGTTTGCAGTTAGTACAAGTTCATAAAAGTATTAGTCTTTATTGGTGGCAGAGGCCCTGTGATTATTAGTGACCTTAGGATGTTTGCATTCTTTGGGGAGTAGGGATGAATCTACTCTACCTAAACTCTCCCACTTCCCCTAGCCTTCCCCTCCACTCTAGGGGTGCGGTACCGGGGCTGGAGAAAAGCTGCTGCCCTGAGCGGGAGGAGCCCAGCGGGGCTTCTTCCGTAGGTGAAACACCGTCACAGGTGACTCCGGGTGCTGTGCTGAGCTCCAGTTCATGGGCTCAGAATCCTGTGAGGCAGATGCTACAAATCCACTTGACAAAGGGAAAGCCGAGGCCCGAGGGCACAGAGCGGGGCACCTGCAGCAGGCGGCGGGTTCCGGCCACGCACAGCACCTTGGGGAGGAGCTCCCTGGCAGTTTCTCACCCCCACTCCCCTACGGTCAGTGAGGAGGCCCGGAGGGAACGGGTGGCCTCCTGAAGACCTGGGTTCCTTGGGTTGGAGTGTGTGTGCGCACGCGCGCACTTCCGACTGGGTCAAGTAGGGCTGCCCATTGACCGCGAGCGGGACTCCGAGTCCCAACTCTACGATTCCGGTGAGAGACCCACGGGAAGCGGTTTGCGCTCTTTGACAAGCGGACCGGTACATACGCTGACCTCGCTGTGTGGTTGCGAGGCGTCAGTAAGTACAGGCTTGTGAAGCGCTGGGCACAGCCCTGGGAGGAGCAAGTGTCCTCGCTGGGTGCAACACGGAGGGAGCCCACCAACTCCCGGCAGCCCTTCCGCCCTGGTCGACGGGAGCGTCAATTTTAGGTGAAACCTCCCTCGCCGAGCTTCTCAACCCAGTGGCTGTCCTCAGAGATGCCCCCTCATAAACTCGGCCCCAGGTTCCGTCCCGGTCCCTGCTGCTATCCTTCTACCACGAGCGCGCGAGGCGCCCAGCCCATCCTCCCTTCCACTATCGCCATGAAAACCACTTGGCAGCAAACTCTGGTGGCCGACTGGGGAGGGGTGGCTGGAAGGTGGGAGGAAAGCGGCCCGGATGGTAGAGCTCGTCGGCCAGAGCGCGCCTTCTGACCCTCTTTTGCGGACGCTCTATGAAGGGGGCACCGACCCAGCGGGCGCTGTACCCCCTCCTCCCTCCGCCCCAACCTCCCCAGCGGGCTCCGCCTCCTCCCTCACCCGGGCATGGCTGTCGTAGCAGCTGGACCACGGTGACATTGGTGAGGACGATGTCGCGCTTCCGCATGGCCTCCTAAAATTTCATGGCCTGGCTGCCCAGGGACTCGCCGCGATGTTACTGCGACGCGGGACGCGGGGCTAGTGGGGCACGAGCTTTCTGCTGTGACGTCACAGTCCAGTGATGTCACAGAGGCGGTGGCGCAAAGGGCCCATCCCATCCCAGGGGAGGTGTGCTGTCTGCACACCGTGCACCACCATTCCAAAGCCGCCGCTGGCGTCTAGAATGGAATCCAACTTTTTACACTGGTCCTCAAAGCCCTTCCCTCTCCCTAAGCACACTGGCTCCCTGCTGTTCCTTGACATACACCCCGTTCCCCAATAGTTACCCCAGCTGTTCCTTTATGCCTGGAAGCTCTGCGGAGGCCTCCCCTCAGCTGGCTGCCTCTTGGTTTCCCTCAGGTGTTGCCCTTTATTTTTATTTATTTTAAAAAAGATGTTTTTATTGATTTTAGAGGGAAAGGAAAGTAGAGGGAGAGAGAGAAATATCAATAGGTTGTCTTGCACACATCCCTACAGGGCATCAAGCCCACAACCTGGGCATGTGCCCTGACAGGGAATCAAACCAGTGACCTTTTGGTGCACTGGATTATGCTCAACCAATTGAGCCACACTGGCCAGGGGTCAGGACAGGTGTTACCTTTTAAAAGAGATCCTCCTGACTCCCCATCTAAAGTTCTCTTCTTTCTCAGTCACTACCTCCCATCAGCCTCACCCCCTCAATGTACCCACTCTTCAGGAAGCCTAACTTCCCATCCTAGGTTAGATGTTCCAATGTCTAAAACTACTCAAAGGTTATGCTATTCTTTTATTTTCCTCATGTTGTAATGTACCTCGCGAATCACAGAAGGACGCCTCAAGAAGTCGAATTAAAGAGTCACATTTATTGCAATCCGGGATTATGAGGAGCCATTCCCCAAATCTCATAGTAACAAGATGGTCGCAGCTCCAAGGTTATATAGGCAAAAAATCACAAAGGTATCGATTACATCCCAGGGTTTGGAATGAGGAACCTGGCTCGCAAAAAGCAGTTTACAGAAGCAGAAGCAGCATGTTAATTATAGTTTTGGGTCTCGGGGTCACTGAATTGACAGAAATACATTATCTAGAGCCCTTGGGTTTGCAAAACCTAGTTTGCAAAAAGCAGTTTAAACAGCATGTTATAAACACATTATCTAGAGCCCTTGGGTAACCTGGGTTTTTCTAAATTACAGTTTTGGGTCTAGAGCCCTCTGACCTTGGGATAACTGTGCTGTCCTTCCCAGGTGAAGGAAAAATGTGCTTTCTAAGACCAGTATGACCACAACCCATGGGATATTCACATTACAATCAATAAGGCGTTTAATTGAATGGGATGATTTATATAATTCAGAAAATCAAAATTGTCCATGTTAAACAAAGCAAATAGGTACATAAGCCAAACAGCAGGGTTAAAGTTAAACTATAATTTCCACCTGAGATGGTTGCTACCACACTTCACTCACAGCAGATGTCTCTAAACCCCATTCTTTTCCTTGTGGCTTTTCATGTAGTTCAGCGGTTCTCAACCTGTGGGTTGCAACCCCTTTGGCGGTCAAACGACCCTTTCACAGGGGTCACCTAAGACCATCCTGCATATCAGATATTTACATTAGGATTCAGAACAGTAGCAACATTACAGTTATGAAGTAGCAACGAAAACAATTTTATGGTTGGGTCACAACATGAGGAACTGTATTTAAAGGGCCAGAAGGTTGAGAACCACTGAATTGTAGTTTGTCATGACCTAGTTATGATTTACTTGTTCATTGTCTCCCACAAGGCATGCATTCTTGTTTATTTTGTTCACCCCTGGGCCTCCAGCACCTAGAACTGTGCCTGGCACAAAGCAAGCTTCCACAAACGTTTGGGGAAGAACCAATGGACAGATGGTCCCCTTCCCCTAAAGCACTGTGGGTGGGGGCTTGCTTGCACATCTGTGACTCACAGGCAGGCACCTGCAGGGCCAGTTGACACACAACTGTGACCAAGACTTAGGGGTGTGGGGGTTGGAGCCAGGAAGGAGTCACCATCCCAGAAAGAGGTGTGGAAACAAGAAGGGGCACAATGATATGACCTCTTCCCCTACCCTCCATGGGAAAGCAGCTGCCATGGGATAGGGTGAGGGTGAGACCTTCCTGCTTGGATGGCCTGGGAGAGGTGGGAATGAATCTACTAAATTGGGTGTACATACAGATAGGGAGACCTCAATAAAAAAAGTGATTAAACAAAGGGGGGACGAACTTTACATGTATGATCAAGAGGGGTGGAAAGACCATACAAATAAAACCAGGAATGAAAAGGGACTGATTTGTACAACTTTAATAAATATGAAACGCTTGATGAAATTAAAATATTTCTTAGAGAACACGAAGGACCAAAATTGGTACAAAAAGAAATGGCAGATCTGAGTAGGTCAATAACAAGAGACAAAGAGTTAAGATCCCAAAGGCTGTTTCAGATCCTGATTTTTTTTTCAGATCCTGATTTTATGACAAGATCTGCCAGAGTATCAGGAACAAGTATTTGCCAGACTATAGGAAATGTTGCAGATCCTAACCAGAGCTGGAAAGCCTGCAGCAGCTCCTGTGCAGAGAGGCTCCGGGCAGGGTGCACGTTCAGAGGCCCTGTGGATTGGCATGCACACTGTGTACTTTCATGGCGAACTTCTTGGGAGTTCTTTGGGGGAGCTGTGATGGCTTCATGACTGAAAGCTCCACCCCTCACTCTAGGAAAGCAACACAGTCATGTAGCCCAAATCAGCAGAGGATGGCAGGCCAGTCTCACAGAGATAGATGCCAAAATCCAAACCAAATAGTGGCCAAGGGGAATGGAGCACTGAGGAGGGGGCCTGAAGCTGACAGAAGATGGTAGGGTAGGGTAGAGAGAGGGGTGGAAAGACAAATGGAGAAACCCCACCTGTCAATCTCAGGGAGGATTAGGATTCTGGAGCTCCCCACCCAGCAATCTCCTGGCATGGGAAACTCCCTCATTTAGGCACTGGACAGAAAAGCCACACCTGAGGTTGCCCAGGGATTTGGCTTTGTTCCTGGAGCGTGAAACTTGGAAACATACGATGAACTCAAGCATGGAGAGGTGGTACAATTAGTCACCCTCTATAGGCAGAGCACAGAGAAGGCAGAAGCTCCTGGGCCCCTGGGTCTCGGATGCCTGGTTCCGGATAGAGCCAAGTGTCCAGGATCTGGGGTGGAACCTGGGTCTACCAAGGGAAGTGGGCCGTGTTGTCCTTGTTTGAGCAAAGCCCCAACACACTTGCAGATTCTCACCACACCTGGGCACCCACACACATAACTCTGCCACCCCCACTTGCTCACACCCTGCACATTCCTTCCTGCCTGGCCTTCCCACTTGCAATCCCACCTCCACCCCCTCTCTCAGTCTCTCCCCTTGGCACAAAAACCCAAATATCTTACACCCCTTCACCCAACTGTACCCACCCACTGGCTCTTGTCCTTCTGGTCTCTGTCTCCCTCTAAACTAGCTCCAGATAGATATTCTGCCACAGATCTGCAAACCACTACCTGTCCTTGCTCCTGATGCCTCTCTTCATACTTATGCCACCTCTTAGCAGTTTCTTCCTCCAACCCATGCTGCCATGTCAACACCTGGGGCTTCAGGTTGGGACTTATGAGTCTCCAGGGGGAGGAGGTCAGGAAGAATGAGCTCCTGGCCCCCAGCCCAGGTTCTGGCTGACAGTCTCCTGCTGTTCTGGGTCTCCAGCCCCTCCCCATGGCTGCCTTAACCGGCTTTTCAGGAGGCACTGCGTCCTGTCCCAGCTCATGGCAATCAGCCCCCTGCCCTTGCCCAAGGGCTGGGAGGCAGGAGGCTAGGGTTCTGTGATGAGAATGTGATCCTGGCTCCAAAATCTGCAACCCTTCCCAAGGGACTCTAGGCTACTCTGGGGACCCAGGCACCCTTCCCCCCCAGCACCCTCTGAGACTCAGTCTTAGGCCTATCCTTCCTTTGCTTCTTCTAATCCATCCATTTGTCCAATTTATAAATATCTACTGAACTCCAGGCAATTTTCTAGACGTTGGGGATATAGCAGTAACTAACACAGACAAAGCCCTGTCCTCTGGATGTTTATAATCTGATATGAGGGACAGACAATAAAAAAGGTAGTTTTGGATCAATTAAGTGCTATAAAAACCAAAGGATGATATTACAGAGTATAACTGGGGGACGGCCAGGAAGGTTTTTTGAGAAGGTAATATTTGAGCCAAAAACAGAATGAGGAGGAACCTGCCATGTGAAGATCTAAGTACTGATACCAGTCAGGAATGAGCTTGGTGTGTTTCAGGACTAGGGAGAACAACAAGGGCAAAGGCCATACGGCAGGAACGAACTTGGTGTTTTTGAAGGCTAGGGAGAAGTCCTGTGTGGCTGAAGCGTAGTAAATTGTGTGTCCGTGTGAGGAGTGGGTCAACAGGAACAATAAGAACAAGGTCTGATGATTTCCTCATCTCCCTGAAAGTGCTCACCTCCCCTTGACTATACCTCTTATTTTCCTAGAATCTCAGTGCTGGGAAGCTGGATCCTTGATCCCCTGAGAGGAGTGAAGAAGCTGAGGAACCAGAGATGGGGGGTTATTGAAGGTGGGGTTGGGAGAGCGGAGGCCTGGCTAGTGGGTGAGGAATGAAAAGAGGAGGTATTTGGAAGGGTAGACATCTAGGCTCTGGGGTGGAGGGCCTGAACGGGGCAGGGAGCAAAGATGCCATGTGAGTATTCTTTATTCATGACTCACCCTCTCTTCCTCCTCCTCTTCATTGCTCAACCTCAAATCTCCCTGGGAAATACCTCCTTGACTGGAGACCAAGTCAGTGCCTCACGGGGGTAATTGAGTCATGAGGGGTGGAGAAGAGGGAGGGAAGCAGAAGATAAATAGCAGCTTGGCTTCACTGGTTCCTCTCTGCATTCTCCCCACCCTCCCAACAATATGCATCTTGCCAGGTTGATCAGTTCCTGCTCCCTCCTACTGCTTTTGGGGGCCCTGCCTGGATGGGCAGCCAGTGATGACCCCATTGAGAAGGTCATTGAAGGGATCAACCGAGGGCTGAGCAATGCAGAGAGAGAGGTGGGCAAGGCCCTGGAAGGCATCAATAATGGCATCACTCAAGCTGGAAGGGAAGTGGAGAAAGTTTTTAATGGACTTAGCAACATGGGGAGCCAGGCCGGCAAGGAGCTGGACAAGGACATCCAGGGGCTCAACCACGGCTTGGACAAGGTAGCCCATGGTACCAACAATGGCGTCGGACAAGCAGGAAAGGAAGCAGAGAAGTTTATCCATGGGGTCAACAATGCTGCTGGACAGGTTGGGAAGGAGGCAGACAAAGTGATTCAGGGGGTCCATCATGGGGTCAACCAGGCGGGAAGTGAGGCAGGGAGGTTTGGCCAGGGGATCCACCATGCCGCTGGGCAGGCTGGGAATGAGGTAGGGAGGTTTGGCCAGGGGGTTCATCATGGGATTGGTGAGGCCTGGAAGGAAGCAGACAAGTTTGGCCAGGGGGTCCACCATGCCGCTGGGCAGGCTGGGAAGGAGGTAGAAAAGTTTGGCCAGGGGGTTCATCATGGGATTGGTGCGGCCTGGAAGGAAGCAGACAAGTTTGGCCAGGGGGTCCATCATGCTGCTGGGCAGGCTGGGAAGGAGGTAGAAAAGTTTGGCCAGGGGGTTCATCATGGGATTGGTGAGGCCTGGAAGGAAGCAGACAAGTTTGGCCAGGGGGTCCACCATGCTGCTGGGCAGGCTGGGAAGGAGGTAGAAAAGTTTGGCCAGGGGGTTCACCATGGGATTGGTGAGGCCTGGAAGGAGACTGAAAAGTTTGGCCAGGGGGTTCATCATGGGATTGGTGAGGCCTGGAAGGAGACTGAGAAGTTTGGCCAGGGGGTCCACCATGCTATTGGGCAGGCTGGGAAAGGAGGAGACAAAATAGTCCAAGGGGTCCATCATGGGGTTAACCAGGCTGGGAAGGAGGTGGGGTGGTTTGGGCAGGATGCTCATTATGCCACAGGACAGGCTGAAAAGGAGGGAGACAAAATAGTCCAAGGTGTCCGTCCTGGGGTCAACCAGGCTGGGAAGGAGGTGGATCAGTTTGGCCATGGGGTCCACCATGAGGTTAATGAGGCCTGGAAGGAGGCAGAGAAGTTTGGTCAGGGGGTCCACCATGCAGCAGGGCAGGCTGGGAAAGAGGGGGAAAAAGTGGTCCAAGGGCTTCACAATGGAGTCAACCAGGCTGGGAAGGAGGTGGATCAGTTTGGCCAGGGAGTTCACCATGCCGTTGAACAGGCCGGAAAGGAGGCAGACAAAGTAGTCCACGGGGTCTACGATGGGGTCAACCAGGCCGGGAAGGAGGCAGAGAAATTTGGCCAAGGGGTCAACCACGCTGCTGGCCAGGCTGGAAAGGAAGCGGAGAAACTTGGCCAAGGTGTCCACCATGCTGCTGGCCAGGCCGGGAAGGAGGTGGACAGGTTGCAGCAGAATGCTCATTATGGGGTCAACCAAGACGGCAAGGAGGCCAACCAGCTGCTGAATGTAGGTGAACAGGGGTGGGGAAATGGGGAGAAGGGGGCTGGGGGAGGGAGAGGTTAAACCTTTAAGACATTTGGGGAGCCCAGGTAACCTTCATGTGGTGAAAGAAGCTTAGGCAGCTATATAACCGTGCCCTCCTTCCTCTCCTTCTTTACAAAGGAGCTGGTGGTCAGATGGTCTGATGGATCAAGCCGTCTTATCTGTAAAGCTTTAAACCAGATAGTGTGAATGTGACCCAGCCCCGCCTCCGGGAACTGCCCTCCTAGTTGAGGAGGACTGGAGGGAGGAACATGAAGCCTCTCCTGGGGAACAGGAATCAATTACTGAGCCAGTATCTGTGACTGTGGGAGCAGATGAGTATTGAGAAAAGGCAGAATATGAGTGTGAACATGAGGAATAGCTTTGGAGATAAGCCCTTTTTTGTTTAATTTTCATAATGAGCCTTTGAGGTTGTCAGGGCGAGGAAGCTGTCTTGACTCTCTGATTCTCAGATGAGAGAACTGGAGCTCAGAGAGGTTTAAGGGGATTTGCCCTGGTCCTGTGGCTAGCACACATCTTTAGCAAATCACAGGCCCGGGTTCTTCCTCTTCTTCACATGCCTCATCAGAATAGGTCTCCTGGAGGGTTTCTGATCCCCATTTAGGTAGAGGGAACAGTTACTGGAGGACAGGAGAGGCAAGCAGCACTATACTTAGCTGAACAGGTACCAAGGAAGGAGCTTGGCAGTAGAAGGCAGATTCCTGCCTGCCTCAATTCTCCACTCTAATCTCCATGAGGAGGCTTTGGGATACTATCTTGAGGGACTGGCCCAGGCCTCAAAGCCTATAACCACATTGGCTTCCAGGCAGGGAGCCAGGGATGTGGGTGGAGAGGAAGGGTATATGTAGAAAGCATGCATGGTAGGCTCTGAGACAGACAGCAGGATTCACCATGTAGAGACCAGGAGAGGGAGGTTTGTGATATGGCTCCAGGCTGGCAGCAGCAGCAGAGTGGCACTGCTGAGTATCTGGGGATAGGATTGAAGATAGGGATCAACCTGAGTTAGGGATCAGGCTCAAGTGTGTGTGAAGGGGGTAGAGTTGAGGTCAAGGCTGAGGTTAACTATGGTCTTGGTATTTGTGTGGGTCTTCTGGGTTCCCTTTCTAGCCAGGCCACTTCTCAGGGACTGAAAGCATCTCATTAACTAAAATAAAAGGGAATGGGGGGAAGAGTAGTCAGTAGGGGCAGACATCCTTACTGGCTTTTCTTCCCATCTCTTACAGAATTACCACAGCAACAAGGCTTTTGGGTTTCTTTCTGGACAGTGAGGGATAGTGGGTTAGTCACCCTAGGGGCAGCAGGTAACTGGGGAAAAGGAACTTGGGAGACCCTCAAGGATTGAGGGGTTGTAATGATGGTCTGGGCTTTTTCAACAGGGCGGTCACCCAGGCGGATCCACCGGCCATCACGGAGGGGGCGCAACCACAACATTAACATCTGGAGTAAGTCTCACGAGCAAAGCATAGACTTGGAAGTGGGGGAATGGAGGCCCTCCCGAGATGGTGCTGGGATGGATGATGGGCACTGACCCTCTTGTCCTTGAATTCCAGGCTTCGGTCAACAAGCCCTTCATCAACTTTCCAGCTCTATGGAGGGTAAGTGCCCACATGGTTTTAGATTTCTGCTCTCCGTCTTGGGAGATGTTTGTACATTGCCCTTCCCATTGCCTGCTCATAGACAACTTCACTGTGGACAGACTCTCAGCCTTTCAGAGACTATGCAACCCATTTCCCATCCCTGCTTGTCCCTTTCTTCACCTGCTCCTTACCCTTTGCATCCTGCTTTTACCTCTTGGATGTTTTTCATTCCCACTGAAACAAACACAAGCTGGCAGAAAAGACCTCCAGTGGCACATGTGCATCTATGAGCCAGGGAGAGAGGGGTGGCTGGAACCATCCTCTCTATGTGCCTACCATCTCTCCTCATCATTTCCTCTGTGCTCCCTCCCTACCTCAACCTACTGTAAACACCCCTGCCATGCAACCCTATTGTCTTGCAGCAATATGCTGGGTGGTGGGAACTGTAGCTCTGTCCTTTCCCTGAATAAAGACTCCCATGGGATCCTCATCCAAAGTAAAGTCCTAGCTGTACTCTTTGGATTGAGTACCTCAGCTGCCTGAGGCTGGGCGGAAGGGTAAGGGTGTGTAACAAACAGCTCTTTAGACTGCTCCTGGAACCCAAAGGCACACCTTGCTTATTCCCAGGCTATGGGGTGGCAGGGGATTCTCTGAGGCAAAGCAGACAAGGCTTCTCAGTTCTTACAGAGTCCCCCCTCTTGGCATCTCTGCCCTGGAGTACTGGCTTCCTGTCCTTTCTCAATCTAGGTGCTACCTTCCTTAAGATATTCTCAAGAACATAGGCAATTACTGGGCCAAAGTAGCCAGTCTCCCTCTCATTTCTCTAGGGAAGGATATGAGGGCAAAGGTCTCACTCCCCTCATGACTGCATACCCTGCATTCACTCACTATCTCCTTTTCTCTTCCAGAGCGTCGCCGACATCATTCCCTAAACTGATGCACTGGCCTTGCTGAGCAGACTGGCTTTCCTGTTGGCATATCAGCTGAAATGACTTGGAGGAGCTAGGGATGGGGGGGGGGGTAGATTTCGGGAGTCCCTTGAGGGAACTGTACTGAGATTTGTGAATAAATATGACACAACATACTCTCATTATGGTCCACATGCTTCCTAAGGAGGGATGTGAGGGGAGGCTTGTCTTTTCTTGCTTCTATTCTGAGAGCTGGGGGTCTGATGTACAGGACAGGTTGAGCTGGAGATTTCAGGCTGATCAGATCTAAGAAGGCGGTTAGAGAGACAAACCAAGTTCCATTAGTGTGCAAGGTTCGTGGTCAACACTGGGAGGAGCATCATGAAGGAGAGCCACTTCAGGCCAGTAGTGGGGGCGGAAACACCAGGGAAGAGATGGCAGAAGCCATCTCAGCATCCTCATTCAGGGGATGTTGCGCCAAAGGAATAACAATGATTACTTGGACTTATTATGCAGTTTAGTAGGCCTGCTAGGCTCCCTGATGGGTGCTTTACATGCATGACATCACTGAAGTCTCCCAACCTGTTAGGTAAGAGGTACTGTTATTGCCCCATTTTATTGAGAAGCATGTAGAGGCTTGCACAGGTTAAGAACATCACTAGTATTTGGAGGGAGAAACAGCCTAACAGCTACAAGGGATATTCTAAACAAAGAGGTCTTCCCTTGTTTGGCATCAGTAGCTATGGGAATCGGTGAATAAGGAGAGAGGAAAGACATGCATTTGGGAGGTCCCCTCTCCGGGAGGAAGGCCAAAGGTTCAGGGGAAAGGCACACTGATGGCAGGAGGGAGAGCTTCTTCACAGAGGCAGGAATGGTGACAGAGGAGGCCCAGCTTTCAGATCTGTGATGACCAAATCCTGTGGAGTCATCATTGAGCTACTACCTACTGAGTACTTACTGTGACGAGTGCTCATGCTCTGTAACCATTTAAACTTCCCCCAACCCAAAGGCATAAGTCCTCTTATGATCCCCATTGTATGGATGAGGAAACTGAGGCTCAGAGGTGCAGAGCACTTGCCCTGGGTAGCCCATGAGAAAGCAGCAGCCCTTCCTATTGCCAGAACCTGCTGGGAGACCTGCATTCCAATCAGGATCCTGTGCCTCCACAGGGGCCATTAATTTCCTCCTCTATAAAGCAGGGATGCTTGCCTGCAGAAGAGGACTGTAAACATGGCTTCCAGCATCAAAATTCCATCAATGGTGGGACCAAAAGAAGAAAAAAAAAAGAGAGACTGTGTCTGCCCTGTAATTTACAGGCTTCCTGAGGAGACAAGGCATAGAAACAGAATATGAAAACAAATGCAAGGCAATGCAGCAGTAAGAACAAATAACACACCAGGGAGGGTGTGCACGATAAAGGTGATGTTCCTGACACGTTATATTGAAAACATTTCTAATTTAGCACAAAGATGAGGAACTTTAGAGTGGACACCTACATACCCACTATTTAGATTTTACCACTAACATTTTTCTATGCTTGCTTTATCACACATCCATCAATCACACGCATCTCTACATCTAGGCATCTATCAATACATTTTTTATGCATTTCAAAGTAAATTTCAGACATCTATTTCCTGCATTTTTTAAAAGAGAAGCATTCATTCATAGCACACATTACTGAAAGACTACTCTGTGCTGGACATTGTTTCATATGGACTGGAGGACTCCCTTCTGAAAAGGGAATACTCAAGGGAATCATCCTGTCATAAAGTAAAAACTTGCACTGATTTTATTTGTATGCACATTTTCTTGCTGAATATATTTGCCAAAGAGGTATGGGGTAAATCATTATGTACTGGGAGTCAACCCTGGGAGGCTTCTGGAAAAGAAGATTGTAGCTGGTTTTGAAGAGGAAAAGGAGCATGGCACATTCTTGCCTCGAGGCCTTGCATGCTGCTCACTCTGCTAGGAATACTCTCTATATGCTCCCCCCTTTTAAATTAAAGTATAGTTGACTGTTTGCAACACCATGAATGGACCTGACCTAGAAGGCATTATGCTAAGTGAAATAAGTCAGAGAAGAACAAATACCATAAGACTTCAATACATGTGGAATCCAAAAAGCAGAACAAATGAACAAACAAAACAGAAACACACATAGGTACAAAGGACAAATTGATAGCTACCAGAGGAGAGAGGGGTGGGGGCATAGGTGAAAAAGGTGAAGGAGAATTAGAGGTAAAAAACTCCATGTCCCTTTTGTCCCCTATGTTAGTTCCTCCTCGCTCTTTAGGTCTCAGCTACCTTGACCACACAATCTGAACAAAAGACCACCTTTGTTATTCTTCCTCATGGTACACTGATTTTTTTCTTCATAGCACATATGACAATTTGTAGTTATATAGAGGGTGTCCCCCCAAAATGTGTACACAAACTTTGAATAACTATAAAGGCAATGTTTATCAAAATACATTTCATTCTCAAAATTGAGCAATCAGCTGTTTCAATATATATGTTTTTTTTTTGGGGGGGGGACACCCTGTATTTACTTATTTCATATCCATTTTCCCTCTAGACTAAGAGGTTTAAAAGGAAAGGTCAGGCTAGGCACACATGGCTGGCAACTGGTAGAGGGAAGGCTTGAGAAGACTTGGGAAAGGCCTTGGAATAAGCGCGAGCAAGAATGAGGCACCTGAGACAGGTAGGTGGAGCCAGGCTGGGAGTAACAAAGACAGGAGGTACCAGTTTCTGTAGATGTGGAAGAACAAGGAGAGGACTTTGGGTGGGACCGGGCAGCCATCTTTATTGGGTGCTTACTATGTCTATGCTAAGCACTTACAGACATGATTCATTCCAGCCTCACAACCTCTCATGAGGCAGGTACCATGATTATCCCCTTACAGATGATAAAGTTAAGGTTCAGGGAAGGGAGAGAGTTGCCTGAGGCCACCCAGCTAGTAAGTGGTGAAGGCGGGCTCTCTTCAAGAGCACTTCCCTGCTGGTGATCTCTGCTAGTGAGGTGGCATGCTTGCCTGGGACCCTTGGGGAGTGGGCTGCTTCAAAGTAAGTCCTCTTTAAAAATAAGTTTCTATATTTGGCTCTTTCAGGAAGTGCATGTGTATGTCTCAAAATTAAACAACTGTCAAGAAAGCATTACAACAACAATGGTAACATGCCCAACATATATTGAGTGCTCTTGTGTGCCGGGCACTGCTCTATGCTCTTTGCATTATTACCTCATTTAACCCTCACATTCACCTCTCTTACAGATAAGGAAATGGCTATACAGATGATTAAAATTGCTATACAGATGGCTAGTAAGTGGTGGACCTAGAATTTCAACCTAGACTCCAGGACAGACACTGTGGAAGAGATGATCCAGTAGGTGCTAGTTTGAGGCCTAGGACCCCCTAGGAGGGAGCAGAAACACTGTCCAGACCCAAGGCCCCCTCTCCTCTCTATACTTGAGTTCAACCTCCAAACCTGCCCCCTCAAGCCCCTTCCCTGATCTCTGTACTCCTCTCTCCCACAACAGTCTGTTCCCCAGAGGAGCCCTGTTCACACCCAAGTCAGATCACAGCCTTCCTCAGTTCCAAGCCCTCAGCTGGTTCCATCTCAGTCAGATAAAAGTCAAAGTCTTCACAATGGTTACTTCTTCACAAAGCGTATAAAGAACGCATACAACAGCAAACAAGCAATCCAACTAAAAAATGGGCAGAGGACTTGAACAGATACCTCTCCCAAGAAGACATACAAATGCCTCACAGATATACAAAAAGATGCTCAACGTCAGTAGCTATTAGGAAGATGAAAATCAAAACTACAATGAGATACCACCTTGTGCCTGTTAGAATGGCTATTATTACCAAGACAGGTAATAATGAGTGTGGGAGAGGTTGTGGAGAAAAGGGAACCCTCATTCACTGCTGGTGGGAATGTAAACTGGTATAACCATTATGGAAAGCAGTCTGGTGGTTCCTCAAAAAATCAAGAACAGAGTTACCACATGACCCCAAAATCCCTCTTCTTGGGTATCAACCCGAAAAACTTGACAACATTTATTTGCAAAGATATATGCACCCCTATGTTCATTGCAGCATTATTCACGGTGGCCAAGACAAGGAGACAACCCAAGTGTCCTTCAATAGGGGACTGGATAAAGAAGATGTGGTACTACTCAGCCATAAAAAAGATGAAATATTGACATTTGTGACAACATGGATGGACCTTGAGAACATTATACTAAGCAAAATAAGTCAGTCACAAAAAGCTAAGAACCATATGATTTCACTTATTATGTGGGATATAAAACTGGAACTCATAGACACAGACAACAGTATGGTGGTTACCAGAGGGAAGAGGTGGGGGGGGGCGGTAGTAAAAGGTAAAGGGGGCCAAATATATGGTGACAGAAGATACTTTGACTTTGGGTGGCGGGCACACAATGCATTATATAAATCATGTACCATAGAAATGTACACTTGAAATCTATATGATCTTATTAACCAATGTCACCCCAATAAATTGAATTTAAAAAATGGTTACCTCTTTGATTTAAACTCCTCCCATTCCCCCTGCCCCAGCCTCAAAGCCTCTGCACAACCATTTCCTTGCTTGGGATACACAATCCCCAGATATCCACCTGGCTCAGTTTCTCACTTCCTTTGGGTTTCATCTCATTGTGACATCTCAAAGAGCCCTTTCCTGACCACCCTATTTAAAATACCCACCCTGTCTTCTCTATTCCCTCACTCCACTGTGTTTTCCTTCATAGTGTTCATCACCACCTGAGAGGTTTATTGTCCAAATTCCCCCACAATGAATGTGAGCTCCCTAAGGAAAGAGATTTTGATGATCTTGTTCCATGCCTAGAATAGGCATGACACAGGGTAGGTACTCAATAAATACTTGTTGAATGAATAAAGTGGTGAACGAGAGAGAAAAGATGAAATCAGAGGGTCGTGGACATGATGCGGGCATAACAGCTTTGTGGATGCTATCATATATAAAACATGGGAGGCATGGTGATGTAGGGTCAAAGCTGTTTGGAGTCCAACAGACTTGCGTAAAATTCTGACAACTCCATTTTACCATAATCTTTTCACATATGATCCTGTGTATGTGTTTAAAACTCTAGACCGCAGTTACCTCATCTGTAAAATGGGAATAACCTCCTTCCTGAGGTTATAGTGAGGATTAAATGAGATCATGCATGTGAAAGCACCACATCATCTATTGGGTTGGGTATATAATAACGATGCCTTAAGACTGATTTGAGATGACTGCTCAGGTACAGAGATGTCTGAGACAGTTTTTCTCAGAAGGTAGAACATGAACCTGCTGGTTGTAGGGGAAAATTTAGGTGGTCTGTGAACATGGCTTTAGATCACTCTGAACCACCCAGTGAGAAATGCTTTTCTCATTTTCTTTGAAGCTTTCTGATTTGTTAAAGAGAAAGACTCAGTTTCTGTGCTGGTGCGCCTTAAAACATCTCTCAGACTTGCTAATAAAGAGGATGCAGAAACTGCAGCCATCTATAATGCAATATCATTGTTTGCTTCTCTCTATGTTTTTCTGGTACTTTCTATTTATGGGCAAGTGATTCTGGCTTTCTACTTCCAGCAGCAATATAAAATATTCTCTTAAAATTAAGAAAGTAAGCTAGCTTAAAGAAAAGTCTTAGCAATAAAGAAGGGAGAGGGCAGACGTATGCCATTGTGAAGGTGTGTCCCACGAGGGAAGTGTGGCAAGGACTCTGAGTCAGTGGGCACTCTGCTGCCTGCCAAGGTCCTGTCCTCTGCCAGTGGAAGCAGCAGGCTCAGGACTGGGGTCTCCATCACCAATTCTGGAGGCCTCAGATTTACTCCTGCTCCCCTCCCCCCACAAGATGCCAGGGCAAAACCAAAACCAATTTTATCCAGAGAAGAATGAGGGCTTTGAAAAGCAGGGGTAAGTCTGAAATACTGAGGTGACAGAAAATTCTGGGGATCAGGGCTTAGGAGAGAGGCAGGCTGGGCTTGGGTTTTGCTCTACTGCACATTCACGTGTTTTCTCTGAACCCCAACTTCTCCATCTCTAAATGGGGTAATAATAAGACTGATCTCCAGGGCTGTCTGAGCCTTAAAGTGTTTAGTCCAGTGCTGGACACATAGAAAGCCCTTGATAGATTGGAGCTGCAATGATTATTATTATTATTATTATTATTATTATTACCACCACATTTATTATCATCATTGAAGAGTCAGAGATGGAGTAACAGGGAGGTAGGAGCTGCTGAGGATAGGCAGGGATTGTTTTCACATGGTAAGAGGTATTGAATGTTACAAGTTGGGGTGTGGGCGCTGGGGTGGAGAGAGAGACTGACTGGGAGACATTGAGAAAGGCAGATGGAAACTGACCCCTCCTAACTGGGCTATGAGTCGTGGTGATACAAGGCAGTGGCAAGTGGGAGGGCCTGGACTCCTGGTAGTACAGAGGCAGCCATGCTTGCTAAGCAGGGATGAGAACTGACCAAGTTCCACATCTTGAGCTGGGACCCGCAGAGCATCATGCTGCTGACATAGGGTTCCTGCCCTTGTGCTGACCCCTCCTCCCTTTCCAGAGTCATCCAGGCCCCTGGGGGGAGACTGGGGGAGGGTGGGGTGAGCTGGTGCAGTCCTAGCCCTCCCAGGAGGCCATGAACTCACACACGTGTCCCTTCTGTAACAGGTAAACAGGATGGGTGCTTGGGTCAGCCGCTCCCTCCCAAGGTCTTTCCCTCCCACTCATTCCCTGGGGGTGGCTGGCCCGCCCAGCTCCCCTGCTCCACACCCAGCTTTCTTAGCCAAGAGCCACCAGGATGCTAACTGAGACACCCTGATGACCACTCTCAGGGTCGTGGCCACTTCCTTCCCAGAGGCCTGGGGTCTCTACTGAAACCTCAGGCCAGTCTCATAGCTCCCAGGCTCTTTGGAGTTGTGGAAGAGGGTGAGGGCAGGCACCTTTAGATGGCAGCCTGGGGGAGAAGGGAAATGGGAGAGGCAAAGGCTAACTGAAACTGAGAAAAAGTCACCTGACTCCATTCTGATGCCCCCGACCTAGGCTAGCTGACACCTAACTCACCTGCCCCTTTCCCACTGAGTTTCGTATCCTTGCCCCACTGGTAGGGCCTGACCTGTAATTTCCCTCCACCTACCACCTCTAGGAGACACCAGCAGACTATCTCCTCGGGTGCCCCCATCCCCACCCTGCGCCCCAAATTCCTGGGGTTGGGAAACTGAAACACTTTGCAGCCATCTCATTCCATTTCTCCCTCCCTCCCTGATGCATGGGCTCCCTCTCTGTTTCAACATAGACTTTCAGACTCACAATTACAGCTCATTACCCTATCAGTGGCTGGCCTGAGTCACTGGGAGGAGGGACTCCGGGCTGCCCAGCCCTGTCACCTTCTCCCAAGCTGCAGTATAAGGAGTAGTGGCAGGGAGGAGGCCTCTGGGAAGGCAGGGGAGTCTGGGAAAGGAGAGAGGAGGCTGCAGACCTAGAAGGAGTGAGAACAAGAAGTCAGAAGGAAAAAGAGAACAGAGGAGGGCACAAGGACACAGAGAAGAGAAAGGACCAACAGAAGGAAACTTGGGTGGGAAAAAGACACTTAGGAGGGAGAAGGAGTGAGGCAGAGATGAAGTTACAGGGGTCCCTGGCCTGCCTCCTGCTGGCCCTGTACCTGGGCAGTGGGGAGGCTGGCCCATTGTTAAGTGGAGGGGCAAGTGCTGAAGCAGGTTTTGGGGAAGCCATTGGACATGCGGCAGGAGATGCCATTAGTCATGGAATCAGGGAGGCCATTGGCCAAGGGGCTGGAGAGGCAGCCCATGCTCTTGGAAACACTGGGAGTGAGGCTGGCAGACAGGCTGAGAACATTATTCGACATGGAATAGATGCTGCCCACAGCTCCTGGCAGGGGATGCCTGGCAGCAACGGTGCTTGGGTGAGTGGCTGGAAGGAAGCTTGGTGTGGGAACGGGAGACTGTAGGAAGCTGGGTTGAGAATCTTGGGAATCAATGGAAAGGTGAAGGAGTCTTACTTGTGGCCGTCTGGGGCAGTTTCCGTCCATGCTATGCATCCTTTCTCTACCACCTTTGGGTCTCTCCCTGCCTCTCCTTATGCCCTGCTCTGGCCCCTCTCTATCTTAGTTGCTCTGCCTGCCTTGCCCCATCATGAGTGATAAGGTCACACACACTGAATGCATGCATGTTGTCCTTGCAGGGAACCAATGGCCAGCCTCCATCTGGAGGCCAGGGCACCTTTGGTTCTCAGGGTGGCCTTGGAGCCCACAGCCAGGGCAATCCCGAAGGCCCAGGCAATCCCTGGATCCACGCTGGAGGCTCAGGTGGCAGCTTCGGAACCAACTCTCAGGGAAGCTCCTGGGGCCAAGGAGGCAATGGAGGGCCATACAACTTGGGACCCAACACTCAGGTAAAGTAAGCACCCAGCCCTGATCCTGTACCTTCACCCCTTCAGGCCCACACTCTCATACTTAGTCTCATCCTCCCTGCAGGGAGCTGTGGCCCAACCTGGTTATGGCTCAGCTAGGGGCAACAGCAACCCAAATACGGAGGTAAGAGGAAGAGTCGGGGGGAGGAGAGGGTGTCTGGGTACATGTGGCAGAAAGTAGGAGAGACAAAGGAAAAAAAAGATGGGGAGGCAGATTGGCCAGGGAGAGATGAGTGTGGAGAGGAGGCAAGGGAGAGCGGGATGTCAATGCGATGGGTGGGGAGGAACACGTTGGGAAAGAAAGCTGAGCCACATGAGGAAGGAGAACCTGGCGTGGCGACAGCCCTAACTGAAACCTCACAACCCACCTGTCCCCTTTCTTCTGCAGTGCACCAACCCTCCACCCTCTGGCTCAAGTGGAAGCTCTAGCAACTCTTGGGTAAGAGGCGGGCCACCTGAAGCATCGGGCATAGGGAGAAAACAGGACTCTCTTTCCTCAGACTGGGCAGGAATATGCCCGAGCAAGAGAGCAAGGGGATGGAGGGAAGCAATCTTGGTGTTCTCACCTTTAGTCCTCGCTCTGGTCCCTCAGGGAAGCAGTGGCGGCAGCAGCGGTGGTGGCAGCAACAGCGGTGGCAGCAGTGGCAGTAGTGGCAGTGGCAGCAGTGGCAGCAGTGGTGGTGGCAGTGGCAGCAGTGGCAGCAGCGGCGGCAGCAACGGTGGCAGCAGCGGCGGTGGCAGCAGCGGCAGTGGCAGCTACGGCAACAGCGGCGGTGGCAGCAGTGGTGGTGGCAACAACGGCAATGGTGGCAGCAGCGGCAGCAGTTCTGGGGGCAACTGGGTGAGTTCTGCTCCTATGCTGAAAGGCAGAGATGAGGCTGAGGTCCGTGGAGGTCCCGGCCGAGGAGACGCGCTCCAAGGCCTTCCTGAACGCTGCCAGCCCTGGGGTGGGTGGCGTCACTGGCAGTGTCATCCTGTACCTCCTTCACTTTGTTTCCCATCTTCCCAGCCCCACCAAGCAGGCTTGCAGAAGAGGTGCCCTCCCTACTTCTGCTCACTCTGTCCCTTATCTCTGCTCCATGACGGTGGGGATCTTCTCTCTCCTGTCTAACCCCTACTCCTGCAGTTGTGGCCACTTGGAAATCTGATTACCGCTCGGGGTGACGAGTGGAAGAAGAGAGGTGGGCACGGAACAACATAATACTTGTCAGGGATGCTCCTGGCTGGGAGAATGGGGGCAAGCCTGCACACATGGAGACTTAAGGCACTACAGGGCTGTGGTACAGGCGAACTAATACAGATGCTGCACACGAGGCCCCTCCCTGATGGTGAAAGGACCAGGAAGGGACCACAACCTGTCAGCTAGATTAGGAGGGATCTCCAGGAGGGGGGCCTGAAGAGAGAGAACACTACTGGCCTCCTTTGGAGTCTGGGAAAGGTGTCCAGCAAGAGGAGGGAGGCAACTAGAACAAGCCAGATCACATAATCTGCTTTAATTTACTGCTCTTTGTACTGCTGGCTTTTACCCCATCTGATTTTCCTGTAGAAAATTCTAGGCATGTTGATCAGGCTCCCTGCCAGTGGCCCTTTCCCCTTTCTAGGTTCCAGGAGAGGGCAGGGGAGAGGAGAGACGGGGCAGGGCAGCACGAGGCCAGCCTGCCCTCAGGTGTCAGGGGACTTTTGTGCAGCTAGGCTCCAGAGGCCTTCCACCCCTGGCATGTGGTGGGAAGTGGGAGCAACAGCTCGGAATCCCCCGATTATCCCACATTCCCAAATGCACTTGGCCACACCTGGTCTTCCCTGTGCTCCCATAACTTCCCTCAGTGAACGACTGGCCGAAGACGGAGGGCAGGCAGAGGGGGTTAACATGGCTGGGAATCGTTTGGTCCCTTCCAAGTCCCTTGACGACACCAGATGGACTCTTGCTTTCCCTTGTAGGAACACAGTAGCAGCTCTTCCTCAGGAAGTAGCGGAGGAAGTGGTGGTGGAAATAAACCCGAGGTGAGTGTCTACGGTTTGCACCTGCATGGATCTCCCTGAAACTGAAACTGTGGGAAGGAAAAGAGGAGACCCTGTGGATGGTGGGAGAGTGACCGCTGGGGCTGAGAATGGGGTGGACTGCTGCTGGGGTGGGGTTAACGTGCGTGAACCTCGGGGCTAAAAGACTGCAACTTGAGGGCTGGAATTGGCGTCTGGGTAAAGACTGAGAGGAAGTCTTCTCTTTCTCTCACCCACAGTGTGACAACCCAGGAAATGGAGTCCGAGTGTCCGGAGGTTCTGGGGGTCAGGTGAGAGCCAAACTTGTGGTTACCGCAGTTCATCACTGCCACTGTGCCACTCCTTGTAACCCAGCTCTGCTCTCCACTCCTAATGCTAATCTTCACCCCAACCCGTCTGTGGGAATTACAATTTAGGGGCAGAGACCAAGCACATAAAATTACTAACAATCTCCAAAGGAATAATTCATTGCAAATCCTTATGGGACATACCCCCACAGACAGGGCTGTGAAAGTCACCTGAAGACCAGTCCTTTTAGAAACATAAATGTTTCAAATGTCCTATGCTTGGCTAGTGAACACAATTTGCTAACTCCTTTGACATTCATTTGCATGCATCCTCCTCCTAGTTATTCTGGAAATTTGGGCTTTCCGGTCAGAACCTGCAGCACTGACAGAGGAAGTGCTACACCAAGGTGCCCACGAATGGCCCGGAGGTCTTGTGAAAAAGCGGGTTCTGCTTCAGCTCTGGGGTGTTGCCAAGATCCTGGCTTCTAACAAGCTCTGGGGGAGGCTGGTGCAGAGCAGCAACACCTGGTGTGTCGCCTGCAGGGCGAGGAGCATGACCCTATGATGCTACATTGACAAGGCTCCCTGAAGAGCTCCTAAAATATTGGGGATAGTAATCTTTTATGGGTAGACAGGTTTCAAGAAAACGTCTCCCAGTTTGTTACTCTATTTCTAGTTTTTTACATACCAAAGTCTGTTTTTCTATGGTGTCTTCTCTTGAAAATAAAGGTCTTTATTTTCTTCTAGCATTACTAACACTTTAATAATTTCATTGTTAAACTTAACTCTTTAATCCACCTGGGCGGTATTCTGGTGTATTCTGTCTAGTCCACTCCTGGATCCAACTAGGCAGGCCCTACACTTTGAATCTGATCTGTGAGCTGCTGTAGGAGACAATCAGATAAAAACAGAAGGGAGGAAACTGTGAGGTATAAATAAGTTTTCCCCCCAAAACATAACTGGTATTCCCAGTCCTGTATTGAATCATTTCTACCACTGATTTAAAACATCATGTATATATACCTTAACATTTGGGGAGAGCTTCTGGGGGTTCTATTAATCGGTTGATCTGTTCTGGAATAGGAACCACAGTTTTATTCATGGTAGCTTTATAGTACATTAATATCTGCCAGTACAAGCCCCTTTGCTGCTCATCTTTTCCAGTGTTTTCTTACCAATTGTTAGGCATCTATTCTTCCAAATGAACTTCAAGATGATTTTTACAAGTTCTAAAGAGATTTCCATTAGGATTTTAAGAGGAATCATATTAAATCATATATGAATTTGCAGGGATGGACCTGGTAAAACAATAACCTGTGTCTCACTGTCTTGTCCCTCAGGGCTTCAGAGGCCCCAGCGGCTTGGCGACATCAGGGTGAGGAGAGTAGGGACTGTGGCAGCGGCAATACTAACAGGGCAGACAGTTCCACCTCCCAGCCTGGTCTAGATTTTTAGCTCTGGGAATGAAGAGGTGCTGATGGGTCTGGGATCCATACCAAACAGTGAAAGCAGAACTCAAAAGGAGCTGACCTCTGCCATAGGAGGAGACTAGCAGTTGACTTCTGTGCCGCCTCATCTCCCAGGGACTCTTCCAGCGGGCATCACCTTTCTGACTAAAGCAAAACATCAGCCCAGCCTGCATTTTGAATTAATTTAGTACAGCAGCCTGGCGGGTTCCTATTTGGTGGCAAAGGCTATTCCCACTGAACTGTGGACAACTTGCAGACTGAATAGAAACAGATGGTGATGGTACCAATGAGCATCCTAAGTGAGAAGTAGCCCCATCCACAAGGGGGTGAAACAAGATTTTCCAGGAAAGATAGAGCTACCCAGAGAGAAGGGCCTCTCTTGGGGTCCTGGGAAGGACCCCGCCCTGCTCCTGCCTCAGTCCCCCGATTCAGGAATCCTTTACCTACTTCTCACCTCTCATCCTGCCTGCCTCCCCACCAACTCTTCTCCATTTTCTCTCTCCTCAGGGAATAAGCAGGGAAGGTAATCGCCTCCTTGGGAACTCCCAAGGCAATTATCAGGTGAGCAGGGATGTCTTTAGGAGAAGGGATGGTGGAGTGTGGGGATAGAATGTAAAGGGCTTGGAAAAAGAAAGGGAACTATCAGTTTCTTCTTGCCAGCTTCTCTGAATCTGTCAGGTGACTACCAGGAGATCAACAGGGGTCCAGGATCCCTGTCATTCTCCTTGATTCACCCATTCTCTCCCTTTTTACAACTGCAATCACAATCCTATTACCCTGTGAGGGAAAAAAACAGATTAAAATAATAGAAGAATGGCTAGCTAAGGGGGATTTTAAAAATCATACTTAGAAGGCAGTGTTGAGAAGCATAAAGGCAGTGAACTTTGAGTTAGAAATGGGAGGTCACTTGTCATCTGTGATCAGGCAAGTCAGTTGACCTGTGTGAGTCTGGCCTTCCTCTTGGATAAAATGGGCACTGTGAAGCCCAACTTTTTTACCCCCACAGTTACTGCAGAGCTTTCTGCATCATATCCCGACCAAGGGGGTTTAGGATCCAGACACTGAACTCTGGCATGGAGATAGGTCTGAGGCAAGCTGCTGCACAGCTCTGGGTGTCAGTTTCTTCACCTGTCAAATGGAGACATCTCCACAAAGGACATGGCAGGATAAGGCATAGTGCTTGGCGCACAGTGAGGCTATATATTAGGAAGCAGGTAGGGTTATGTTAAGCAGCAAATAATGAGTCATTCCAGGAAGGCTTTCTGGAGGTGGGGTTCTTAGGTGCTGTGTAAAGAAGAGAGGTGGCTTTACAGAGGGTTCATGGTGCTTGAGCAAAGGCAAAGATGAGTGGGCCAGGAGCAGGCTGATGGGTGGTATGCATAACAAGATGCATGAGCCTTGAACATCAGTCCCCTTTCCCCACCCAGGGGCAAGGGTCCAGTGGGGGAGGTGAAGCTGTCGGTGGAATCGATAACTTGGTGAGTGGAGGCATCACCCCACCTTAAGCCAGGACCCTCCAGACATCCATAGCTCCTGCCCCTGCCTCTTGCTCACGAAGTGTGTTCTTACTCTCATCCCATTTCTCATTGGTTCCTTAGAACTCTCAGACTTCCGGGCCCTTCAACTTCGACACTTTCTGGAAGGTGAGTTCAGCAAGACTGCTCTGCCCATTCATTCTCTTTTGGAAAGCCAAAGTCCTGTCCCCTTGACCTCACAGGATGAAGTCCTCTTTCTATAACTACTGTCAGTGGTGGTCCTTGACCTCTCTTGTCCTGAGGCTCCAAGCCAATTACATTATTATGATCCAATTTGACCAGTCTCCTTTTTTCTTTTTTGTCTCTTCTCTGCAGAACTTTAAAGCCAAGCTGGGTTTTATTAACTGGGATGCCATAAACAAGGTAAGGGCTGGAAGGCCATGTCATATGATCTTTGTGGGAGAGGAATATAGAGAAGAAAGCTAAACCTCTGAGCCAGGTGAAATAATGATGATGGCCATGAAGAGCATTTTGGCTAGTGCTAAAAACAAACAAACAAAGAAGCAAATACACAAAAACCCCCACAAAAACAAAGAGGAAGAGCAGCTGAGATATGAAGAGAGGGAGACTTTGCAAACAGTTGGGTATTGAGGATGAGAAATGAATGGGCCTCTTTCATATCCTAACATGCAGACTTGCACAGGTCTAAACCTCAGTTTCCCCTCCGAGACCTGGAAGTTAATGGGAGAGGTAGCAGAGGCTGGGGTGGGGGTGGGGGTGGACTGAATAGTCAGGTGGAGCTAAAAGGCCACATGAGGACTGACACAGAGAGAGAAGGGAAGGAGAAAGCCAACATTTACTGAGTGCCTGATGGGTGCCCTGTACTTACATAATATTAGGGGACACATGGAGTCCTGGAACCCTTTCTTCCTCCTGCTACCGCCTCCTCATGTAGGGAGACCCCAGGCCAAGCTAACACGACACCAGAAGAGTAGAGAGAGTGGACTGGAAGGAGAGGATGAGAACAAATACCAAAACCAAAAGCAAAAGCTGTAACTGGCAGCCCAATTATGTGATTTTTTGGGATATATTAAAAAACACACACAATATGAATCAGTTGCTAAAGTTTAAAAATGTATAGACTTCACAAAATGACTTGGATTTCTGACTTCTATTGAAAAATTTGTCAACACAAGGCCCCATTCCATGGGCTACAATAAACTAAAGCTGAGTAGCAGCTGCTTCTTGCCATGGGGACTTGGTCTCTAGCAGTCAGACTCCCCCTGCTCATCACTGCCATTCTAGCCACCTGACTGGCCATGTTCAGTTGAGTTTCTAAGCCTTAACTTAAAAGAATGAAAATTAGAATCCTGTCCTCCAAAACTTGTGGGGGAAAAGGGGTACTGATAGGGGGAAGCAAAGAGGCAGCCCAAACCCCAGGAAAGCCAAAGCCTTCCCTTTGGGATAAGGGAGAGTGGAAGACAGAAGATACAGATGTTCCCAGATGCAGCACAGTTTGGTGCGCATGAGCTAAATGAACAAAATAGACTGTTTCTGGTTTAGAAGCACAATCTCTGGTGGGGCAAGACTCCTTACTGTGAACTCCTTACTGGGGAAGCCAGACCCCTGAGCATGGGGACCTTCGGGCACACACAGACACCTCCCAGAGGGCCAGGACAGATAGCCAAGCGTTTTGCACATCTAGAGGGCACAGTACAGTGAGTGCCTGCAGTCAGGCAGGATTCATCTGGGGTGACTTCCCAGAGGCACAGGTCTCAGAAGAGGGACAGAACAGAGATGGGCAGAGAAGAGAATGGTGAGCTCTGGCTCCTTCACAGTGCGGGGTGAGGTGCTGAGGACTTCCTACAGAGTGAGGAGTGAAGACAGGGGGGCTGTACATAACATTCCTGGAAAGGTATGAGAGTTTTCAAGCCCAAGCTGGAATATCTGGGGTTGACTGGATGACAGCTGTGGTTCAAAAAGGTCCCTGCAGATTTCTGGAGCAGGGATCTAATATAATCTTGATTTTCCATTACTCCCTGAAGTCCTATTCCTCGAGCTCCCTCTTAGAACCCATTTCTTTGCCCAGGACGAGAGGAACTTTCACATCCCGTGACCTCCAGACAAGGAGCTACCAGATGGATGGGAGTCCCCCACCCTTTCTTAAAAAAAACCACTATTCACCACTAATCTCAACCTTTGCCCTTGAAATAAACCTTAGCTGCCCCACACTCCTGGTGTCTGCTCCTTTCTTACGTCTCAGCTGTTATCCCAGGGGAGGGGGGCTTGGAAGGGGTAACTTAAGCCCCACAGCTTTGGGAAATGGGCTGGAGGTGGCATGGCAGGTGAAAAGGCAGGAAGCTCTGTGGGCAGTTCTTAGTCTTGAGGTTTTGCTACAGTTATGTTCAGCCAGAGGAAGGGGAAATGGGATAGGGAAGAACACTCTGTGTGTGTTAGAGGCGGAAAGGACGGTTAATGGCTCCAGAGATCTAGCTTCTCTCTTCCTCTGCTTGCAAAAATAGTTTTCTGGTCCCTAAAGACACCCAGCTTCCCCCCAAATCTTGGTCATAGTGCAATTATGAAGACCGAGAAATGGTGGGAGCAGGAGTAGGGGCTTAGATGATCAGGGGGTCAGGCTCTCTGCTAACCTGCTCCCCACCTTTCATCCACAGGGCCAAGTCCCATCCCCCAGCACTCGAGCCCTCCTCTACTTCAGTCGACTCTGGGAGGTAGGACAATTCTCACTTTTTGAAGAACTGGGACCCTGGTCATCCTGTCCCTCTCTCTATCTCCCTCAAGGCAGCCAAACCCCAGCTCCTGTCACAAAATTCCCCCTCTGTTTATTTTGGAGACGGGAAACCTCATCCAAATCTTATCACTAATACCCTCAAAAATTCTAACACCTGCAATAAGTGTATCTTCATCTAACCCCAACCATACCCGTTCTTGTGCGTGGTCTTGAAACTTTCCCAATGAGCTGCCACACTCCACCCTCTGTCTCCCTGTGGCCCACTCATCTCTCCTTCTTCTTCCAGGATTTCAAACACAATACTCCTTTTTTGAACTGGAAAGAAATTATTGAGGTAAGAGCTGCAGAACCTCTTGTTTTGGGGTCAGGAAGCTCAGCTCTGGGGATGTGGGGTGCTGGGTTCTTGACAATGGCTTGCAGATTCTGTGCCAGTTCCTTACTCTCTCTGCTGAGAGAGGGTGCCTCCCTCCCTTCCCACTTTCCTTTATGCAATGCTGAGTGGGGATGGGGTGTGAGAGAGAAGCTGTGAGTCACTGAAGAAAGAGCAGGATGGCAGGTCCTCCTTAGGATAAAAGCCCAGGCCAAGGGTGGGGGCCCTCACAGGCCCTGGGCACATGAAGTTGGCCACTGTCTCTGCTCTGCTGCTGCTCCTGCTGGGCCTGGCCTGGCATGGGGGGAGCCACAGCTGGGTGGGTACTGCAGGGTGAACAGGTGATGGGGACCGGGAGGTTGAGAAGAGGGAAGGACCTCAGAACCGGAAATGGGGGGAACTAGGGAAGAAAGCTGAAGGGAAACAGTAGGTATGGGGTCGGGGAGGGAATCAAGTCATTGTTAACCGCAGGCAAGAGCACAGGGTCTGAATATCTGTGTTCTGAGAAGGATGGGCAGGACTCAGGGTCTCCAGAAAGCCACACCTCGGTTCTGCATGGCCAGTGGCCTTTTCAGGAACCAGATCTCTTAGGCACTGAGGCAAGAGTTGCCCATTTACTCATCCACATGGGCCAGGAACCTGAAGGCGGACAGGTGGGGCCGTGCAAAGGAGGAGGCCAAGGCCTTCCAGCTGAGTGTTGTCATGGACCCATGTAGTCCCAGTGTGACCACATCACCTGATTCTTCAAGAAAAGTTAGAAATCTGGTATTGAATTGCTTATAACGAAATCAATTTTAAAAATGAAAACCAAGTAAAAAATGTCTGGAGGCCTGTGACCAACCAGTTTGTGACCTCAGTATCAGGGCTAAAACTCAATGTCAGGTGAGGATGGGTAGGGAGTTAAATCAGAGTTAAGAAGAACACCCTAACCCTGTGTGTGTGTGTGTGTGTGTGTGTGGTGGTGGTGGTGTGGTGTGTCCTAGTAGAGAAGTGCTGATGGAAGGAACTGAACTTCTCTCCCACTGCTTAGGAATTTCCCCTGCTTCACCTGGGGGAGGGAGAGGGTAGTGCATCTGCAGTGTCTTAAGTACCTTCATCTATGTCCTTGTATTTCTCCCCTTTCTTTCTCTGTGACCCAGAGCTAACGTTACACACTCCACTTTGCCTCACAAACAACATTGTGAACAGGGCCTATGCGGGGAGCAGGGTTTGGCATCAGCAAAATGTGGGCTGGGGCTTAGGGCCTGGGTTCTGCTCTCATGGGAGCCTGTGTGGGCACCACACATTTGTCATTCTAGCTCAGTCTCAGGCCAGCCTGCCAACATTCCAGGTGCCTGGGTGGGGATGGTGTTGCTAAACCCAGTTCGCTACCCTCACTTCCCAGCACTGAGTGTGGAAACCTATCATCTATATCTATCTGGACCATCAGTTTCCTCCAGGCTCACTGCCCTCTCTGTGGACAGCACTCATGGGCCACTGAGAGGGACGGGGCGGGGTAGGTGGGATGTGGGTGCTCCAGAAGGAGGGCAGCACCCAGGCAGCAGGATGTTGGAGTCCCACAAGTCTGGCAAGGCCTGAGGACTGTGGAGACACTCTGTGGCCCCCTTTCTTGCAGGGTAACTATTCATCGTCATCACTTCAGAAGAGGGCAGGCAGTGCTGGTCAGGTAAGTCTCTGCCCTCAGACTGACCTTGGAGGTCCTCAGCCTCTCTCAGTCTTGTTCCTCAGTCTGGCCAACATCATATTCTCCTCCTTCACTCCTCTGTTCTGTAATTTTCTCAGCCTGGTGCAGGATGGCCAGAGGTAGCAGCTGTAACTTCTAAGGTAAGATATCTGCCACATGACCATCTGATTTAGACCTCACTTCTTTCCTTGGTCTTTTCTCCTCACCTCCCAAGTAACACTTGAATTGGGAGAGGGAAGAAGGCAGAGCCATTTGGGCTGGGACCATAAGGAGGTGAGCGTGTGAGCTTGGATGGCTGAAGGGGATTCTGGAAAAGAAAACACCTGACACCAGGAGGGGGAGAAGGCAGGGCCTTTGAGAAAGGTCCAGCCAGGGCAGGGAAGTTGGGTGTTTATTCCAGAGAAAAAATGGTTTCATCCCTTCTGTGCTGTCCTCCACCCCCAACTACCTACCACCCTTGCTTTCTTCCGCAGAACTACAATTATAACCAGCAGGCATATCCTACTGTGTCTGGTGGACAGTACTCCGCCAAGGCCCCCGCCAAGGTAAGACTTGCAACTGCCCTGTTTTCCCATTGGGGTCTCTGCATGGAGGTGAGGGAGGGAGGCTTTCGCTGCCAGGGTCTTCTATGCGGGATAGCTGAGGCCAAATCCTGTTCACTCGGAAAGTCATCTCTTTCCACACCTTCTATCTTGCACTTCCAAACTGCTCTTAGAGAAAGGAAAAAGGTTCAAGACTCATTGCACCCACATTCAGAAAAGGTTACAAGGGAGCAGTGGCTACATCATGGAGAAAACTGGGAGCCACTACCCTCTCAAAGAGAAATCCCAGTATGTGCTCCTTAGAAAAATCACAGGAAGCATGGCAGAACAGGCTGCCTTCCTTTGTAGCATCCACTCTCTACCTCTTCAGCTGCTGACCTTCTGGGCATGGTGCGGGTAGAGGGGGAGGAGGTTAGGCGAAGCTAGCCCAGGAACTCTTGGTTGGTGAGAATAAATGCTTCATTCCAAAAAGAACTAAAAGGAAGAACATTTGAGAATTTTGTTGTATTCAGTTGCAAAGAAAGCAGTCTTATAAAGTCAGTAAATAAATGTGCTAAATACTAATTGGGCTGGTGAAGCAAAAACAGGTGGTATTCTCCCCCTCCCCCCCTCAGAACAGTAAAGCCCTGTTTTCACGGAGAGGCCTTCCACCGAGAGATCAGAAACTCTCTGCTGACAGGTGAAGTGGCAGTCCCTACTGCCTGTGGGTGTCCACGTTGCCAAGTATTTGTGGCTAATTTCCATCCGCCTTGCAGGCAGAGGGAGACCTACCTATTCTTCCTGTGGGCAGAGTGTGCTAAGGGACCACATTCAGTATCATCTTGGGTAACGTGTACTTAAGATGATAAATTGTGCTGTGAAAATATTTCCATGGGCTGAATGTCTACAGTCAGACCCAAAGGAGATTTGAGATAAACTGGTTTGATCTTGCCCCTTCCACTGAGCCCTTTCTGAGCACCAGGAACATGGCAGAGTCCAGGGAGGTCATTGTAGCACCCATAGCACCTACTCTGATCATCTCTTTACAGGGGGGAGTCACGCTTTCTTCTTCGGTAAGTAGCGGGGCAAAGAAAATTGGCTTGTGAGAAAAGGGGTCTGAGGGCAGAGGTTGTGCAGGGGAAAGTGCAATGTCCACTCAGACATTCTCCCTGTCCCACAGGCTTCCCGGGCGCGACCTGGCCTGCTGCAGTGGGTGAAGTTCTGGTAGGTGAGTATTAGAGTGAGCCATGCTCAGCTTCATCCAGGAGCTGGGGCACCATCACCCAGGGGCAGGGTGGGATCATGGCACTTGCTTTGCTCTGGGTGGGAACTTTAAGGGTACTGAGAAAGTGAGTCCAATGTGAGGGTGTGGAGAAAAACTTACAAGATATGATCTACTCAGAAAGCACCTCTGAGTGCTGAGTGAAGGCCTGTTGGAGGGGAGACCATGCAGGAACAGATATGAGAAGAAGAATGGCACACTAGGTTAAGGAGAGGGCCTGGGATAGTAATTGTGCAGGGCAACTGCAGAGAGGTGAGCCTTTCAGGTGTAAAAGGTCAGAGGCAGGAGGAAGAAGTGAGTTCCCAGTGGGGGAGAGGTAATAGATTAATTTGGCAGAACCACATAACCTGTTTTAGGGTTCAGCAAAAGTGAGGGGATGACAGGTGAAATAGGTAAGACACAAAGGAACTGTGGGAATGCAGAAGCTCAATGAAGGGATGCCTGGTTTCATAAGCCAATCAGAGAAAGGTAAGTATCACATGATCTCACTCATATGTGGAATCTAATGAACAAAATAAACTGATGAACAAAATAGACCCAGAGACACAGAAACATGGAATCTCAGAAGGAAGGTGGGGATGGAGGGTAGGGAGAGATTAACTGGGGAACTTACTACATATATGCATAGCCCATGGACACAGACACTAGTGCAGGGAAGACCTGGGAAGGATGGGTGTGTGGTGGTGGAGATGGTGGTGGGGTCAATGAGAAAAAAAGAGGGGCATCTGTAGTGGAGGGGACTTTCAACAATAAAGATTAAAAAAGCACAACACAAAGAACAACCACTCAGCAAACACTTAAATGCAGCAGGCATTGTGATTGGCCCTTTCTTTGTGCCATACTATTAATTCCTGGAAAAGGTGCCATAACTGTTTACATATTGCACATGAAGAAACTGAGGCTCAGAAAGGAAGTCTCACTCTTGCTGCAAGAATATGACATTCAGTTCTGGGTGCCACTAACCTATCACAACGGTCTCCCACCCCTACCCGCACCCAAAGCGGGGAATGAAGGGGCAGGGACACTTCTATTTTGTTCTATAAATATCTATATTATAAAAGGCCTGTGGCCCTAAAGCTGAAACGACCAAAGACCTGGGCTGGTGGGTGGGCAGGGCCGCACAATTTCACATGCTGGGCTTCTAGTATATTAATAATGAAATAACACAAAAAGATAGGATGTCTGGTTTCAACAGATTGGAAGTGGTCACATTCTACCATTTTCTCTTTTCTCCTAGAAAATTACTCCCAACTATGCCTGAGACCCTGAGAAACATCAGTCATGGAGGAACCCAACCATGCCCCTCCCCCAGCTCTCCCGCTGGGCCAGCCCTGGTCTGGGTGTTGACACCTGCTCTTTCTAGGTTGGGGACCTGTCTTTTGTTTCTTCCCACGCATGTGGTGTCTCCTTGACCACCAGCCTCATCAAATAAACCAGCCACTTTCTCTACCTACTCCATGTGTGACCTGAAGTCACTGACCGTCTTTCAGGAGGAGCGTCCCACTTTTGAGTTTCTCTGTGGAAATAAAACATGAATCTTTCTTTCTCTAAGACTTTCGTGAATTTTATTCTTTAACACTATACTGATGGCCCAGATCGGGGAGATGGGAGACTGAATTAGGGGCAGATAATCTGCCTCCCTCCTGAGACTGATATACAAAATGGTGGGCTGAGAAAGACAAGACCTGGGTAGTCCTGACAGGAAGTAGCTCACTGGGCCTCAGTTTCCCCATCTGTAAAAATGATCTTTGCCCAACCTATATCTGAATACTGAGCTTACTGCCCTTGAAGTGGCCATGGATGTTTTGCTAGCCTGCAAATCAGAAAGTGGGAGTAAAGAACCAATTCAGAGAAGACCAATCCCAGAGGGCCAGGGAGAGGGCAGGAACAAGAACAAGGGATAGGTGCAGAATTTGCCATGGCCTCTAAATGCAGCGAGGGGTGGGTGAGGGGACCGTTGGGTTGACATTTTAGGAAGATGGGGGTGGGGAGGGGGTGGGGCAGCTCATATCCAGCATCTCACACGGAGCAGCCCTGTGTCTCCAGGACACAGAGGGGCAGCAGAACACTTCTACTCCAGTAATGTACCAATGAGACCGGCAGAGGGCACGGCCGAACCCAGGCTTATCATAAGCCCAGGAGCCCTGAAGACAGGGCTGGAGACTCTCCAGTTAGAGTCTCTGAGGCAAAGTGCCCTCAAGGCCACACTGTGTGTCAAATTAAGGAGCGCCCATCATCACCTCTGACATCCTGCAGGAACCAGGAGCAAAAGCAGGACACGAGACACTCTGCTAACCCGAGTGACTCCCTCTGAGACTGCAAGTGTTCTGAGGGCATGACCTGTCTTCCTTGGTCACTGTGCTAACCTCAGTGCTTAGCACAGGGTTTGGCACAGGGTAGGGTCGGCCTCAAATGTGGATGAGTAAATGAAGGAAATGGACTTGAGGAAACGGACGTGATCAAATCCACCTGACTGGAAGGGAGAGGAGGACTACTCCTTAGCTCTGCATCCTCTTCTCCCTTATGTCCCTGAATTGGAGCTACTGCTTTGTATTTGTCTTGGGTTTCAATTGTATAGGGATAGCCTTGCAGTGCCTCCTTGCAGCCACAGGGGGGAGAACACAGCTGCCCCAAGGCCAACACTCAACCCTTTCTGCTGACAGCTAGCTTCCCGGAGTGCAGGTAAGATTTCAGAAACAGCTGGAGCAGTCCCTGAGGGATTGAGGGAGAAGCTGAGGCGGTCAACATGGCTGAAAGCATCCCTTTAAAGTTTAAAGCACCATCTGAAGCAGGCTAAGGCCCTCTTGTGTAAAAGACTTTAACAAAAGGGCAGGCCACTCCTTTCTCCTGTCTGGACCTCTGAAGCAACTTTCCTATGTGCTTTCATATTTTCCCTATAATCCATTCTCTCATGACAGCCAGGAAAGATCCCCTGCTCAGGATTCTCTGCAAGCTTTTCTTTCTTTCTTTCTTTCTTTCTTTCTTTCTTTCTTTCTTTCTTTCTTTCTTTCTTTCTTCTTTCTTTCTTTCTTTCTTTTTTTTACTGTTTAAGGAATTTTTATCAAAGCAAGTATTTTATAATCCAAATTACGTTTCCTTGCTCAGTTATCAATTCTGTTATTTAAAACAGAAGTGACATTCTGAGCTATTCCGCAGTAAAGAATTACAAAATTAAAGAAAGGAATGCTTTAAATTTTTGTACTTTGCTGAAAATTCTTTTTCCCAGGGTCTATAAAACATTAATTCGTTTTTTTATTTTACTATTTTTTTTGTGTGTTTTTTGTTTTTGTTTTTGTTTTTAAATCAATAAGTAATCTAGGACTAGCATTATTTTTGCTAGACCTGGCATTTGCTCGGTACATAAGGTCCAAAGTTTCCTTTCCTTTTAAAATTTATTTTATATTTTGCAATTTTTTCCCTAATATTGTTTTTCGATGTTTAGATATTTTTCTTCGGTGAAGCACGAGTTTCTTTTCATGGTCCCTGATCAATTTTAAACAGTTGGAACACCGGTGGCACTGTTTACTGCTTTCTGGGCAGCCTCTTTAGCTTGGTGGGCTAGTAGTACGGCTACAGCTTCAACTTTAGAATGAAGAGACTCTGGAGACTCAAGCATATGAAGTTCTGAATTATCGATCTCCAACAACATGCCAGTGATTTTACCAGCAAGAGTAGGGTGCATGGCTTGAATGAGAGGAAACAGCCGTTCACCCAACATTCTCTCTGCAAGCTTTTCATTAGCCCTACAATTAAATCCCAACTCCTCAGCATGGTTTGGGGTGACTTGGCTCTGGCCTCCCTCTCCAGTATCATCTGGACCTGCTGGGACAGGCCCTTGGGGAACGCTGCTGTTATCTGGCTCTGGATCCAGGGATTTTCAGAAGTTTGGAGCTTTAGATCTAAATTCACATGGCCTTCCCCAATCCAGCTTAGCCAAGGCTACATACATACATGATCACTATCATTTTAACTTACTCATAGAATTTGTCATTCTCTGACATTTATCTTGTTTCCTAATTTTTTTTGTTAGATTATGATCTGTTTCCTCCACCAGAAATAGGCTTCACAGGACTGGTATCATGTCCATCTTCAATCCCTAGCACCAAGAGCCAAAGTGGCTGCTCAATAAATATTTATGAACTAGAGGGATCAGAATTAAGTTGGATTAGTCCAGGAAGTCTTCCTGAAAGAAGTTTAAGCAAAGGATACACAGGGGCAAAGGGTGGGTGGCAAAGGAAAAAACTAGACCTGCTGGGCAAGTGGCTGCTTTCTTGGGCATGACAATAACACTGGCAGAGAGAGACAAGGACGGGACAGGGATGCCCCCAATACCCCTCACCCTGGCCCCCTCTCTCTCCAAGGCTTATCACCTGGGTGTTCACCAAGGCCCCGAGGCTCCAGTGTGTGCCCCATCAGATCTCCCATTTGTTCCCTGAACCCAGGAGGCCAGCCCCCAGCTCCTAGGTGTGTCTGTGATGTAGCAATCAGAGCTCGGCCTCACCTTCTACCCACACTCAAGTTCTGGCATATCTGAGGGAGGGTGGGTGCTGGCCTGTGGGAAAACAGGGCTTTACTGGTATGCTCAGAGAGGGGGGTAGGAGATAAACCAGACTTGGAAATGGGTTGGTGCAGAGCCAGCTCTGTGGCTCTGCCTGACCATTAACCTGATGTGATGTGTCCAAAGCAATGCTAAACCCCACACCCATTACCCTGCCAGCCACTATCTGAACTGCTGGGACCCTCTCCCAGTGAGAATCCCCCCATTCGCTCAATCACTGGACACAGGACATTCAGGAAACAAACCCACTGAGGCAGAATAGATGGGGGAATGTCAAGGAGCTTGGAGAGAGACATTAGTTAGCACTTTCAGCATAAGTCATGCAAGCCCAAATTCCAACAGGAAAGTACCAAATTGAAACAAATCATAAGTCTAGCACACCTAGTTTTTCTCCAGCACAAGAACAGAGTTTCTTTGGTTGTGCACATGAAGTAGCTAGCTTGTGTTTAGAGACATTATTAAAAAGTACCTATCTTTAAACACTGGAACTTTAAACATTAGAACAAAACTAGAAATATCATTAAATACATGCTTGGTGTGGCAAGATGCTCATACTATATGAGGCATCTGGAAACTGAGGCAATTTCAGGTTCATTCTGGGGCATAATCTCTTAGTTCTCTGTTTTCATTTTGCCAAGAGTTTACAGTTTGATCTACTGAGATTAATACATGCATGCTCAGATTTGCCACCTATGGCTGTGCAGGCTGCACACCACAAAGGACCTCTGGTCAAGTTGGCTAGTGGGGACCAAATGCAGCCTGCCCCCCAGCTCACAGGGCATGGGTCTAATTCACACAAGGTGGTATGTGGGCTGGCCGAGGCCCTTTTTAGGACACTACTCCATAGCATAGCAAAGAGCCAGTACAGGTGGAGGCTCTGGAATCCCGGGGTTTGAACATGGGCCTTGCCACACTGTCTGTGTGACCTTGGGTAAATTACTTAATCTCTATATGCTATGGTTTCCCTACCTAAAGAATTTGGATAATTATAGTGCCTACCTCACAGAACCACTGTGACATTTCAATGAGATCATGCATTTAGAGCACTTGGCACAAGGCCTGCCACATAGTAAAATATCAATAAATTGGCTAACATCATTATTAGTAGCACTAGTATTAGGTGGAGAGGAAAATGGGGAAGTCAATTTGTTGCTAAAGAACTCTAGAGCCAAATAGATAATGGCGTTTGGAGGTGTTCGGATCACCTGTTGCTTTAGATGCCAAAATGTTCCTACATTAGCATATCTAAGTAGAGTTGATTTTACAATAGCCGTTCTCTTTTGTTGATTTTTCATTCCTTTTACTCCTGGAGTTGACTTTATGCTGACAGAATGGTGCTTAATGAGCTCCTTCGGTCACTGTTAATTAATTAGTAAGAATTCATTACACATATAAACTTGTGTCCTCCAGAAAACTTTTTGGGGAGGTGTTCCACCCACTGCAGTCATTTTTTCACCTGTCCCCTCCAGTAGACCCAACTGTACATTGCATCCACTGTCACAGGTCATCTGTGCTTAGTGAGTGTCCCTTAAGCATTGTCTACTCAGGGAGCTCTATAAAAACAGGAGGCTTCCTAAGGCTAAAGAGGGATAGGTGTCAGGGATTGGGCTGTGGGGCAGCATGATAATTGAACTGAAGTGCTTCTGGGGTTCATAAAGATTGTTCATGAATGACTGTAGCCCTCCCACTCGAGGCCTGCCACCTGTGTGCATTGCATCAGTTTGGGTAAAGAGGCCCACTCTTAAATAAGGTCTTGCTTTGTCCTGGTAGCACTAGTCCATGTTCCAGCACCTCCCTATTACACCAGGAACTGGTTGGGCCACCTAAACCTCATTGTGGAGAAGGTTGTTTGATTGCGATGTTTTGCCGCTTTGAGATGATCAACTCCTAAACTGGGGGAGTGAAGTAGTGGGTGGGATAAGTCAATGAAATGGAGTAGGCACTCAAAGTCAGGACCTAGATCCCATTTCCAATTGATTAGCTCTAAGATCTG